GGGGCAGTTTCCAGCCCCCAGTCACAGGCCTCTTGGCCTGGGAGACCGTGGAGCCCCCTGTGGGGCCAGCACTAAAGCCACACTGCGGCCACTGGTCACCCCTCCCAAGGGTGAGGCTGTGGCCTGGGCCCTGCCACAGAGCTACACACGGGAAAGCATGGGTAAGAGTGCCGTCTGAGGCATGAGAGAGCTCCGGAGGAGGGTTTTTACCGCACGTTCGTGACTCATAAATCCAGTACGAGGCAAAGAGGAGGTGGGCCCTGACGGGATCAGGTATTTATCTAACGGCCCATAAATCAGGTCTCAAGGGCCGTGCGCTGCCTCGGGAATGCGCCCAAAGCACCAGATTTATCCATCAGGTGAGAGAGACAAACGGGCTGGTGCCACCCCGGACCAAGACAACGGCTGCAGACGGGATTCGGCCTGTGCTGGCCCGGAGACCCCCCAGGTGCCCACCCCTGCAGCCCGTCTCTCTGTGAGTGAAGTCAGGGCAGAATCCCCACACCACGGGCAAAGGGGCTAGAGTGAGTGTGGAGACGGGGTCGGTGCCAGGTGAGGCCCCGCACGAAGCAGCTGTTTCTAACAGCCACTCACAAGATCCAGTCACTGTGGGCGCCAGGAGGGGGGTCAGACCAGGTCTCCCCAGCCCTGGGACCCAGCAGCATCCACTCTCTCCCAGACCTTCGGGAGGTCAGGCAGCTGGGGTCTGATGACGCTCAGGCTGAGGGGGCCTGAGAGAGAGACCCGCATTTAGCAGGCAGTCCCGGGGACCCACGGAGGGTGACTCTCTGGGGCCGGGAATGGCATCCAGGCCTTGCAGCATGCCGTATCTGCTGATGCCCTCGGCCTCTGCACACGCCATCCCTTCCGGCTAGGCACCCGGTCTACCCGACACCCTTGCGCTCTGAAGGCATCAGCCTGACATCTGCCTGCAGCTGGGTCACCGCCTCCTCTGTGTCCCCTGCCAGCACTGGGCACACCTGGGGGCCCCGCCTGGTAACGTGACAATCCCTTGCAGTGGACGCATGCCCACGGCTCGCTGCTGCGTGCCCAGTGCCCAGCATGGCGCCTGGCACCAGGAGTGCTGAGCTCGGCCAGTGAGTGGTCTCAGGCGCTGACCCGAGCTCGCTCTGTGCTGGGGTGTCCTCAAGGGAGCCCGAGCCTCCCCCCAGCCCACTGGCACCTGGCCATCTGGCCAGTGCCCTACGCCCGGGGAACACACTCATCCACCACCCACCATGCGCCTGCCCCGCCCAAGTCCCCATCCCGGGAACACAGCTGTACGGGCCACCTCTGGCCAACCCTCCCTGATTGCAAAGGGCACCCAGAGGAACCAGGGCCAGGTGCACACCTCCTCCGGCCCCCTGGATAGCGTAAAGGAACGAGGACAGCACCAGGGGCCTGGGTCCCGCCTGGCATGTGGCCTCGGACAAGCCCTGGACCCTCTGGGCTTCAGCTCCTCTGCCTGTCCGAGGAAGGGTGGGTGGGCAGACACTCCTCGAGGCCCCGGCCAGCCCCTGCAGCTCAGCGCTGGAGCTCCCGAGGCCCCCCCCCCCCCGGGGCCGGAAGCAGTGCCAGATGCAGGACATCCCGTCGTCCCGCTTGCCCTCGTGGCCTCGAGGAAGAAGTCCCACAGGACCACCTGGCCCGGCTGGGGCCTCAAGTTTCCTAACAAGGACGAGTAGGGTAAAACGGGAAATGAGACAAGAGCCGCAGGCACCCCAGGGGACGGTCCTAGGTGGTGAGGCACCACTGGAGGCCCCACGAGGAGCTCAGAGATGCGCACCCTGACCCCAAGCAGCACTTCTCCAGCCCCGTGAGGCGCCGGCTGCGAGAGTGAGCGCAGAGGCGGACGTAACAGCGACCCAGGATGCAAGAGTCATCAAGCCTGCAGACGGGGAAACCAAAGCCCATGGACGGCTGGGGGGCCGAGCAGAGGTCGCACCGCGAGTTGGGGTCAAGGGCTCAGACCCAGGTCTGGCTGAACAACTGGACGATTTCAATGACCTCAGGTGGCCTTCCCTACCTGCCCCGACCCCCTGCCCCTAACAGACGGTTGTCAATAAAACGGGCTCCGAATCCAAGGCGGAGACGCCCTCTGAAGGAGGTCCGAGGGAGGGGGAGGCGGGGCACAGGGCACAGGGCAGGGGGGGCAGCCCGC